CGGTTCTTCTCCCCAAACATGTCAATGGCCTCCCTAATCTTGCGGTTCCTTGTTTTGTCACCGTGTGAGGACGTTCTTTCTGTTGCCTTCCAATTGATCTCGCGTCCTGTCTGTGCGATGTGTTCCGCTAATTCTTATCTTTCGGTACCAATTTTCCTGTAGAGCAACCGATGTGCCTTGATTCGTCCCTGTTTCACCAATTTACTTCCGTTCGCAGGCGCCGCAGGATTTACAGTGAACTCCTTTCATGTTGTGTCGCACATCGCACGGAATGGACGCGAGATCATTTGGAAGGCAACAGAAAGAAAGGCCTCACACGGTGACAACACAATGCAGTAATATAGTCCATCGTCATAGCAAATACAACTTTGCTTCGTCGACAATCCCACCAAAGAATATATCATGTGAAAATGCCTGACCTTCCCACCCTGTGACCAAGGGCCCCTGTGGCAATATGGCGTCGTGGTTAAGGTGTCGAGGTTACACGCCAAACTGTCATGTTTCACTTGCCACTGACGGTGTTGATAAGACCTGTGCAAAGTGTAAACTGCAGTCCAGCTTGTGGGAAAGCAAGGCTATGTGAAATGTGGGAAAATTCAGCTACCAGCCCTTCATCAGCTTGAACGGAATAGGGTGAATACATCTCATATTATTGATTTACTGGTAGTCTCGAGAGCTTACTTTTAAGCAAAAAAAAGCGAAATAGCACTCACCTTCGCGCGGAAGACGAGCCGAGTTGGCCTGCTGGCGGATGACGGAGGCTCAAATGATCGCAGGTCGTCGCGTCTCACTCTTGCCTCTCCCCGCTCGCCTGGCCTGCACTCTGGCAATGCATACGGTCGGAGACGATCGATGATCATCCGACCAATCAGATTTCGCCATGCACAAATGCACGTCCATCATGAAAAAGCTGGCAGGTGGCAGGTGGCAGGTGGCAGGCGGCGGATGACTCATCGGCAAGGCGGGGCTGAGCATGCGGCTTGGCCTCGGGGCCTGAATCGGCTGTGAATAAGGCGCGGTCGGACTGGGCCGCAGACGCCGCCGTTGGCTCTGAATGAAGGACTGGGCGGATGGTGACCCGGTTTGTGCTGGACCAGGTTGCTGATGCCGAAGGCTTCGACAGCTGGAATGTGCAGCGGGACCGCTTAGTGAGTCATTAACAAGGGCGGAGACCATCTAAAAAGGCCGTGAGCACTTTTGCCGGGGTTGAGCAGTGCTGGAGTTGGCGGCACTTTTCAACCAAAAGCCCTTTTCGGCTCAGACCGCTCGAGTTGGTGACGACGTGATGGACAATTTTCCGACAATTGCACTGCAGTTTATTCACTTTTCTCTCCCGAAAGTTACTCTCCTCCGGCCTGAGCTCGCCCCTCCGTCTCAACTCAGAAAAGGGAATCGAGCCAATATCGTGTGTCACTGGTGTGCTGGTGTGCTGGTGTGCGCTTGTGTGCGGCATGACAGTGCATTTCGAAGGGCAAGGTGATTGGAGGGAATTCGTGAAATGGTCC